TGTGTTTAGAACTGCAAAAGCTTGCAAGGAATTTACCACAACAGCAACCTCTTAGACTTTTAACATTTAGATAAACAGAATCTTACCAGCTTCTGTAGTTCACCAACAATGTGTCTGTTATTATAGTAAGCTCACACAAGGAGAAAGAAGCAGCATTTCCTAGCGTGATGCACACACCAGGAAATGTGAGCTGTGACACACAGCTCTTGCCTGGCAAGGTTCAACAATCTCAGCTCTCTTGCCTCAGTCTGGCATTCACAGTCCCCCAGGTAGGTCAGCAAGATCTTGTTACAGGGTTAACATTCTACAGCAGAAAGGCAGAGAAACTGCCAACCAGCTGGAGAGGTGTGTGGCTTCTTTCCTAAAAGGCACAACCTCATTCATGCCATAAAGCAAGGGGAAAAGGGATTTCTGTGTATTCCTTCCTACAAACACCCCCACCCCAAGATTACAAAGTTCAGCCCCACCCAGTGTTGTGCTCTGTTTTGGGAAAACTGCTGTGCATTAGCAGCAGAGCACAGCACAGAGCTGGGAAACCTCATTCTCACTATTTGAAAACTCTTTTGTATTTCATTGTAGCAGGTTTTCATCTGGAAGTTATAAAAGAGACCCCCTTTCTCAGACCTCAGCAAGACTCAGAGTTCCAGCTCTGCCTTCCCACTTGGGAATAAAAAATGACTTGTGTTATTGCTCAGTGGACTGTGCAAGCAGAAGGCAGAAAGGCTACAGACTGGTCTTCAGGGAAAAAAAAAAAACAAACAGGGAGGAATTAAAGACAGTATTTTGGGATTTTTTTCCTCCTACTAATATGTCACTTTTGAGGAGAAAAGCAAAATATTAAAGGACAGATAAAAAGAAGGATGAAAACCAGCACTGAGGGTCAGTCCTAAAAGGTACACTGACTAAACTTAGCAACAAATCCCTGAAGTTTCATGGAAATAAATTCGTTGCAATTTTTCAGTCATTCTCTGTCTTTAATGGACATGTCAACTGTTTCAAGCATGCAAAGGCACACACTCGAAAAAGATTGTGTGCAAAATATTATTGAAATGCCATAGAACTAAAGTAAAATCCACAGATGTGACAGAAAGACAAAAAACCCACCCCAAAACTTAAGACCCTAAGTGAAAGCCATGATTCCATAGAGTTAATGTGCAGTGTGACACTGCATCCTTTGCTGAGACAGACTTTAATGTATGAAAACTTAGAGCATTTAGGTACAGTAAATAGTACTTAGATAGTACTATTAACTACTAATAGTAGTTAGATAACCAGGAACCTCTTTATTTTTTCTCAGATAACAAATCAAGAGCCTCCTCAAGTGCTCAAACAATGATGATGATGATAACAGAGGTCTCCCTTTTATACTCTAGGAAAATCCAAGGCAGAGCAGCAGTGTTTATCCTTAGTTCTAGAGCAAGTCCCTCTCCCTCTTTCTCCAAAGGTAACACCCATGACTAGGCATCCTGACACCAAGTCCAGCAGTGAGGCTCCAGATCTTCTGGAAACGTCTCTGCCTGCTGTTTTCTTCTTCAGTGTTGTTTGAGATGCTGGGAAGCCCCACAACTTCTGGGAACTCACCAGTGAGTTGCATGCAGTAGCTCATGCATCTCAAAATGTCTCCCTGTTCAGAGGCTTCATTGCAGCAATTGTATTCAGTTTATGCATTCAGGCTTCTCTTGCAAGGCCCTAAAACATACTTTAAAACATCAAAGATACAATTCTGAGGCAATCTTGTGATTTCTGGTGCCAGGGAACCTACTCATGAATCTAGAAAAATAGCTTTAGTGAAGGCAAAAGTAGTCTACAACTTGGATAAAAAGACCATCAGTCTGTGAAAAAGACAATCAAGGGCATATAAGATAGAAATTCACTAAAGTACGAACAAACAGGGTAGCCAGAGTTGCAGTTAATAGCAATAGCTTCAGAGCAAAAGAAAGGAGGTGGTACTTCCTACAATGGATATTACAGTTGTAAGACTAAAGGACAGTGACGGTGCTAGAAATTTTTGTTCATTTAAGGGAAGGCTGGAAAAGTTTGTGCAAAAGGAATCATTTAGGGTCACTAAAACCAAAAGTGACTGAAGTGAGAGTGACTGAGCCCTAAGCAGAAAACCAATAGAGTCCAGGGAAGAGTTACTGAAGACTGTTACATGTGTTTGTCATGCTGTTCATCTTCTGTAAATATCCATTTTCAGCTACTGCTAAAGGAACTGTACTGTCCTGGGTAAGTTCTTGGTCTGACCCAGGACAATCATAGAAATGCTCTGCTATCCAACCCTTCATTCCTTACCACCCACCACTGCCACACCATCCTCATTCATAAGGGAAACTTCAAAGTATGGAGCCCTCTGATGGTACCAGTCGGGTATGCTATCTCAGCCTAATCTAAGAAACATAAACAATTAAAAGGGAATATTCCTCTCAGACCAAGAAAGATATCAAGCAAATTATCATTTCATTAATGTTATTGATGGTGCTGCTTTCTGAATTTCAGTTTTCTGATTAGCTTTATACAGTCTGAATAAGCATCTAAGAAAGACAAATTCTTCTGTATGCAAAAAAAACCCTATTTGTAGTTCATAAAATTTGTTTCCTAATGGGCACAAAGTACAGTCAATGCTTAGCATTATCACTTATTAATTCCATTTTAAGTTTAGCCTCTCTTTCTGAGATTCAGACTACCCTTAGAGAACAATGTGAACCTCTCTCCTCTGTGCTGTTAATCAGTCTTCCAACTTTTGTAACCACTTTCACATTTAATTAATGCCATATCCTCTAGATATTGGACCATATCTTGACCTTTAAAGGATACTACTGTCTGCTTATCCTTGACAATGCTGACTTCTATTCAGATTTAGTTTCTGTCTACAGTTCAGTGGCCAGCTTTGATACCTTTAAGTGAATTTTAGCTCCAGCTGACTTGTTTCAGTAATTCCCTTAAGATATTATGTGGCACAGCATCAAATACCTTTGTAAAGTCTTGATGCTATTCTGTCCTCTGCTAATCTTCTGGCTTCATCGTAAAAGATAGGGAGGGATAAACATTCTAATTGTCGTGGCTTGGTTTACTGCAGTACACCTGTGCCATACCAGGGTCTCGTTATACTACTCACATACATATAAATACATTTCCCCCTTCAGCTTCACTATTTATAGTATTTGTTTCAATTTGGAGCCATGCCCATAAGACAATAATTTCCACAGTTACTCTTAATTCAGTTTTTAAAGACTTCTGGCATGCTGACACTGTATTAGTCTCCTGATACTTCTTCAATTCTCTGTGGGGTTTTTTAGCAACTAGCTGTTCTATTAGTTCTTTAAATATCTGGAGGGACATCTCAGATACATTTATTCAAGTGATGATATTTCATTATGTATTTCTTAGTTACTTTTTTCCAGCAGTTCATAATTACATCAATGATTTCTTAAGCAAGACATTATTTAAAGTTTAATCTCCTTCCCAATAAACTTCATGGCAAAAGCCCAATTAGTCTTAGGGAGAAAAATAACTGGTCTCAATATTTATCTCCTTATTACAAATTAATTAAAATTAATATTTTTTGATCAAGTAATTTTGTGTTATTGTACCTTCAAGACTTATAACACTATCTTTTCATATTAATTTAACCTCTTGGCAGCTGTTTCAGTGAATCCTCATGTCCCTGTTTCTCTCCTGTAAACTAAACATGGAATATAAAACCCTGTTTTGGTGACGCTCCAGTTTTCTGTGTCTAGTGTAGCTCATATTTTAGTTTTACTTGTTTAAGTAGCCCACAGTGACCCATTCTCTCTTTGTTTTTTCCCATTTTCATTGGAACAAGACATATTTCTGCTGGTTTTTCATTATAGTATCCTCTCACTTTCCCCCTACTGTCCTTCCCCTTTTCACAAAGCTTTTTCTGAAATTCTCTCAAGTTATCCTGTGAATGAGATTTTCCTCATAATACGACACCCTTTCACTGGGTAACCATAACTGTTCAGATAGCCAAGATTGTACAGTTCATTAATAAAGTTAATGAAGAAAGTCTAAGTTCTAAGTTCCTCAGTGTCATCTACTGATCTCATTTCCTTATCCCTATAGAGCTATAAGCATTTTGCATAAGCACAGAAGATGGGATCTAGGTTGATGTCACTGCTTTTGTACCGTCACAATCTGCTATGTCTGAGGTGATGTGGAAACACAGGAAAGACACCATTGCCTCATCCCCCAGTGCTACCATGAACACAGTCAATTAACTGCTAAGGAAACACCAGGAAGATTGTGTTAAATCAGTGAGAGTAGGAACACCAAGACATTCCCTCTACTTAGCTCAGAGACTGGGTGCATAGTGAGAATAATCTCAAATTTCTCTCATTTGACTCAGTCACTTACTACAATCTCTTCTCCTGTTTTTCAGATCTATGATTATTTAGATATACGCTTTGTGTTGACCTAGGCTGGATGCCAGGTGCCCACCAAAGCTGCTCTGTCACTGCCCTCCTCAGCTGGAGAGGGGAGAGCAAATATACAGAAAAGCTCGTGGGTCAATATAAGGGCAGGGAGAGATCACTCAGCAGTGACTGTCATGGACAAAATGGAATTGACTTAGAGAAATTAACTGAATTTACTACCAATCAAAATCAGAAAGAGTAAGAAAATCAGTAAGAAAATGAGAAGTACAACAAATCTTGCAAACACCTTCCCTCACCCCACTCCTTTTTTGGGCTGTACCTCCTCCCCAACCACTGCTGCATGGAGATTGGGAATGGGGGTTATGGGCAGTTCAACAGAGATTGCTTCTACTGCTGCTCAGGGAGAAGAGTCCTTCCCCTGCTCCAGCATGGGGTCCCTGTCACAGGAGACCGTTCTCCACAGATTTCTCCGGTGTGAGTCCTTCCCATGGGCTGCAGGTCTCCATGAACTGCTCCAGAGTGGGTCCCTTCCCATGTGTGCAGTCCCTCAGGAACAGCCTGCTCCAGCATGGGTCCCCCATGGGGTCACAATTCCTGCCAACAAACCTGCTGAAGTGTGGGCTCCTCTCTCCACAGGTCTGCAAGTCCCTCCCAGGAACCTGCTCCAGCGTGGGCTTGCCACAGATTCACATGCTCTGGCATGGGTCTCCTTCATGGGCTGTAGGCAGGCCTCTGCTTCCTTGTGGATTTTCATGGGCTGCTGGGGGACAATCTGCTTTGCCATGGTGTGCACCACGGGCTTCAGGGGAATCTGCTCTGGCAGCTGGAGCACCTCCTTTCACTCCTTCTTGCACTGACCTTGGTGTCTGCAGACTGTTTCTTTCATGTATTCTCAGTCCTCCCTTCCCAGGCTGCAATTGCTTCTGCACAATAATTTTTATTTTTTTTTTTCCCATTCATAAATATGTTATCACAGGCACATTGCTGCAATTTCTGATTGGCTCGGCCTTGGCCAGTGGTGGGTCTGTCTTGGAGTCAGCTGACTTTGGCTCTGTTGGACAAGGGGGAAGCTTCCTGCTGCTACTCCTTTTAGCCATCCCTGTCCCCTCCCTGCTACACAGAACCTTACCCAACAGACCCAATGCAATATGTGATCCACAATTAAAATGTCACAAAATTTCACAAGAAATAGTTTCACATTAAAAATGAAGAGTTGTGTTTTCCATGGGTTTGCTCTGCTAGGAAGGCATGTCCACTTAACCCCCATATATGGGCAGATTAGATAAAGAGGTTAGTGTAAAGAAATAAAGAATAAAATGAGCATTTGTCTGTACTATTGTTTCTTTAGCAACGTCCACAAGCATTTTAATTAGACAATGTTCTGCTCTGAATTATGTCCTACCACTGTTACTTGTGTTCTGAATATATGTCAGCCCTGCAGTATGTTATTTATTGGTACTGTAGCAATGCTTACAGATTTCCAGTTGCTGTCCATATGCAGTGCCCTGGAGTGTTTAAAGTCAGTGGAGGAGCTGTGACATTCTGTGAGGCTTGAAAATCCTAGAACTGACTCAAAATCTGTTAGACTGATTCACTGCTCCTGCTTCTTAAACCTGGCTGCACAGTAGGATAATTGCAAAGGCCATCTTTAGCCTCAGGAATTTATTTGCCTTAGGATCTTTAGGTAGTCAGTGGAGAGTAGAAAAATCCTCATCTGTGTCTCAAAGGGACTTCATTGTAGGTGCTCAGAGCTGCTCCAGAGGAAATGCTTCCTTTTAATTCTACAGGAAGCAGGGGGAGAAAAACCTTCTGAGACTAAATTTAGTCTCTGTGAATGCCCCCTAAATTGTTCCTATGTGTGTTTGCAAGGGTCATCATTGATAACCTACACTATATTCTGGAGTGAGAAATGAGAACAGCAAACAAATTCAACAGAACTCTCTCTCTAGGACTAACACAAGCTCCTCAGCTCCTTGTCCAAGGTTCAGGGGGCCTAATCTCCACGTGCTGATTATAGGGACAGGGCTGTCTGCAAAGCAGAAAAGTTATTCATTTATCATGACAGTGTTCATTTATCCAGGCACAGCTGTTGCCTGATGACAGAGGTCCAACTGTGGCTCCTGTGTGATGGAACGTGGGTCTGTGTTCAGACTTGTCCAATCACTGTTTGTCTGAGACCTGCTGAACTCACATCAAATGTTCATCATTCGTAAACTCTTTTTTCTTGAATTTCCTCTATTTCTTCCATGTTAACTGCTAACCCAATACCTTACATTAGTTTTTAAAGCCAAATTTACTAGGGTTATTTATCTAATTTTTCTTTTTAGTACCAGTATTTTTCTTCTTGATTCTCTCTGTTCTTATTTTATCAATTTTCAGCCTAACCTCACCTACTCTCATCTGTCTGAGAGCCAGGTTCTGATTAATGTATCTCCACACAAATTCAATTTAGCCATTGATAGTACATTTTTGGGGTTGATCACATCACATCCACCTGGTTATTTCTGCGATGAGGAGGGAAAATGAGGTAGAAAGTAGCAAAAAAAAATAAATTGCTTTCTGTGTTGAAGCAGTTGATTTTAATTAATGAGATTAAATTTTACTTGGTTTGTGTGGCCAAGTTTTGGTTGCTACGGGGAGAAGCTGCTGAAATTTCCCCCAGGTTCTGGTGGAGCCTATGCCAGCCAGCTCCAAGGTGGACCCACTGCTGGCCAAGGCCAAGCCTATCCACATTGGTGGTAGCACCTCTGGGATAACAGATGTAAGAAGAGGGAAAAGACACTGTGCAAAAGCAATCAGAAGAAAGGAATGAGAATATCTTTGAGAAACAACCCAGCAGACACCAAGGTCAGTGGAAAAGGAGGGGAGGAGGTTCTCTGAGCTCTGAAGCTGAGATTCCCCTGCAGCCTGTGGGAAGGACTCATGTTGGATAAGTTCAAGGGGGACTGTGCTGTAGCAGGGGAAGAGTGTGAGCAGTCCTCCCTTGAGAAGGAAGGGACAGCAGTGAAAATGCGTGATGAACTGACCAAGCCCCAAATCCCCTCATCCCCCTGTGCCACTGGCTGGGGAGGAGATAGAGAAAATCAGGAGTGAGGATGGGGAAGAAAGGAGAGGTTGGGGAAACGTGTTTTAAGATTTAGTTTTTATTTCCCATTATCCTACTCTGCTTTGATTGGTAATATATTAAACTAATTTCCTCTAGCTGAGTGCATTTTGCCCATGACAGTAATTGCTGAGTGATCTCTCCCTGCCCTGATTTTGACCCACAAGCCTTTCACTACATTTTCTCTCCGTTACCCAGCTGAGAAGGGCAGTGACAGAGCAGCTTTGGTGGGCACCTGGCACCCAGCCTGGGTCAACCCACCACGTAAATTTTCTGGTCTCTTGTCCTCAGCAAGCTACTTACAGTAGGTGCCATTTGACAAGAAAGTTGTCTGTGTAGGTTTTATCGATCTTATAACATATTGCCCATCATGTTGTGGAAGTATTAATTTGTACACATAAGTGACAGTGAAGTTTTCCAGTACCATATTGAGCACAGCAACAGAAATAAGAGTATGAGGTGGAGCTATACAGTTTTGTACTTTAAATACCAATCTAGATTAGCCCTGCTATTTTGTGTGGGCAATAGCTAGATCACTGCAATTTAATTTCTTGCATATTTAAAACAGTCATTACATTTTAAAACATATTTTAATGCCGTAGCTCCATCAAATTAATTTAGAGGTTGCACCAGCTTAATTATACACACCCCTACAGCAATACAGCCACAGTTCCAAAAAGCTAAGGACAACCTTCCCCCTTAATTTCTGTGCACCACCAAACTTCTCCTGCCAGGAATGAATTAGACCTGGTATTAAGGCATTAATGAACCCTGTATATGTTTTTGGAGGAGAGACAAATGTTCATGTATATTAAAATCTCTAGAGACCTGTTACTACATATGTGTTTGCATTCATAAAATTTATCAAGCAAAGCTATTCAGAAAAGGAAGGTATGACACAGAGTCAGCCTAAGGACAGATTGAAAATGGAAATATTTTATCACTAACCAATGACTACTTTCATTTGTCTAATTGCAATAGAAATGAGTGCCAAACCCTCCATTCTCTGCAGACAGTTTGAGGCCTGAGCAAAAAAGCTCCATTAACACTTTTTTATTGTTCTTTCTTGAAGCTGAGTAATATATCACTATAAACTAGGTGAAGAAAATGAGGTATAAATCAAGCTAAATTCAAGGATTAATGAGATTAGCAGCTATAAGATCCATAGACTATCTATAGATTGACCACTAAGTCTTATGTCCTCAGGAGTTAATTACACAGCTATCACAACACATGCACATGACTGGCCTCTACCTGATTTGCAAACAAACCTTCCCAGTCCTAGCACAGGAGCAGTGATGTGGTTATGAAAATATGGCAGCAAATAATTCAGAAACAAAAGACAAAAGACAGAAAAGTACTCCACAATGTCTTCAGGGCTTCCTCCCATGCTTAGGAAGTATGAGGGATGCTCAGTAACAAATAAGACAAAAATTGGGGAGCCCCAGCTGTCAAAGCAGAGGTTGGTCCCCCTCTCCTCTCACCAGAGTCCAAAATTGCCTTTATAATTAACACATGTAGAAAATTATTTAAAAATATGCAGTGATCATAATGGCTAATTATTTAAAAATATGCAGTGATCATAGTGGCTAAAGTGGGAAGACCCAAGCTCTCTGTGTCTTGGTTCTGTTTTGGTGCAGTGCTTTTGCAGTTAAAATGATATCATGCAGCCCTTTTGGGAACAGCTGCTGTCAGTAAGCATTACTGTCAGAACTCGCAGTCAATCTGGACAAAGATACTCATTCCCAAAGTGTGGTGTTTGGCTGCAGAAGGCAAATACCAGGAGTTAACAGGAGTGTCAATAAAGGAACAAGCAGTGGGGTTAGACTACAGTCACTTTGGGGGTTTGAGCACTCATTAAAATGACTGCCTGACAGCACTGTCTAAATGGAAATATTATGCAAACGGTGAATTCATCCTGGAGTAAAACCTCCTTCCTGTATCTTGCTGGCAAAAAAACTTAATCAAAAAATATATCCAGACTGAAATAGATCATGCAACCAGCTTTAGAGAGAACATGTAAGTCTTTATTTTCTCATTTTGGATTTCTCCACCCTCTCAAGGGATGGTGGTCTGAACTCTTTAGACTTGTCAAACTCCCACTGACCTCAACAAAAAACAGCTCATCTCAAAACACAGCTGAGCAGAGCAGCCAGCTGCCTTTGCTTGAGCCAGCTGTTCCCAAACCGAGGTTGCAATCCCACATGCAGCTGCAAGGCAGGCAGTGAGAGCAGGGTCAGTTCTCCAGCCTATTATGTGGTACTTCCACAGACTGTGGGAGCAAAAGCTTTGCTACAACAATGATCATGGGTATCTTCTTTCACTGCTTTAAAGTTGTTTTTCCCTCTTCCTCCCCCTCAACTACTGATGGAGTCTTATTACTGCTTGATCCAGCTGAACCCTAAGGCAAAGTTTTCAGCACTGGGCACACTCCTGCAGAGAGAGTTTTGTATGAATTATAAAGTCAGGGCATTCAAATACTACATCAATTCACTTCCCACAGGCTGTCTTCATGAATGCTTATTCATCTTGAAATGATGGTACTCTTAAGAAGTCACTTAAGCTCTTAAGCTTTCCTGGTCTCATGTCACAACTTCAAGAACAATCAAAAGGAAGAACTTGAAGAACTTGAAAAAGCATAAAAACAAAACCCATAGTCAGAAAAATTTGTTGCTGAAACTTCTGCTAAATAAAGAGATCACTCCCTGCA